CCCGCTTCCCTCCCCTTCCCTCCCCTTCCCTTCCCTTCCCTTCCCTTCCCTTCCCTTCCCTCCCCACTCCTGGAGGACATCTGGTCCAAATCTTCCACTCAGAGTAGGGCCAAATTCTAGGTCAGATCAGGTTGCTCAGGGTCATGCATGGCCAAGGTTTGAATGTCTTCAAGGATGAAGATTCCATAGCCTCTCTGGACAACACATTTCAATTTTTGACTACCATGACTAATACAAATTTTCCTACTATCTAATTCGATTTTTCCTTGTTGCAACCCCTGTTCTATGCCTCCTGTCTTTTGGGGTTTAATCTCCCAGAAGAGTCTGGCTCCACCTTCTCTGTAACCTCCCATTACGTAGCTGAAGACAGCAATTACTTCTTCTTTCTCTTCTTGAGACAACCCAGTTCTGTCCTGTATTGTTGTGGTATCCAAGCATTTAGAGTATAATAAAGGTGTCAAATACTCAGATTGATTTGGATATTCAACACAAATCCATTTGAAAGCCTCTTTTTCAGTATGCAGTCTTGGCCCCATCCTTTTGAATTCAGTGATAAACCTCCAACTGATGTCAATCGAGATAAAATCTGGCCCCATACGGCTGAGAAATGCTCCCATATACTTTACTGTTTGCTGCTATATGCTGTACTCCAAGTACTTTAGATTAGTAATTTTTTTTTTCTTTCTTTCTTTTAAATAACTTTCAGGAGTTAATAGGTTTGTTTTCATATTGTTGCTGTAGGGATCAAATTGTCAAGGACAAATGTTTTTCTAAACAAAAATCTCAGTTTTAGGATGTTATTAAGTTACAATTGTTAAATAGAAGCTAGTGGGTTTTGATTCTCTTGTATTTACACAATAAAAAGAATTGAGAAGTGTAGGAAATATACCTTTTGAAAAGAGGTAAACAATATTTTCTGGAGAATCAGTACCCAGAACGTTACATAGAGAAGGACGTAGAGACCCAGCAACAACAGTAACAGAAGATCCTTCTGCTTGCATATCTAGAGTGAAGAGTCCATAAGGACTCAGTCAAATAATTAATTGAGACACTATTCCTTTCTTTTAATGTACACACCTATATTTGCATAACAAATGCAAGCATATCTTTCTGGATAATCTGTTAGAAAATGTGGCAAATACCTAATAACTGCTCATTAAAAAACGGGTATTGCCGATTACTGAAGGGAAAATTGAATTAGATTGATCACAATCTTTTCTGATCTGCTATAAAAATTCCCAGGTTCTTTTTCATACACGACAGAATCTGCTGCTGGAATCAGATGGTTTCCTTCTAAATCACATATCCCAGAGGATGGTCTCCTTCCACTTTTCTGTTTATTTTCTTAAAAATACCACTAAGAACACAAGGGACTTGAAACACCAAAATGAAATGACTCCTCCATAAACTAGTATAAGTAAAACACCAGTGGGAGAGCTTAAAAAGGTGTAATGTGTTAATGATGTCATTACCACTAGGTCACCTGTTGCCATGAGTGCAAAGGAAAGTGCATTTCTCAAACCCCAAGCTGCTGTTATAGCAACTTATCGCCAGGTCTTGGCAGGGACTGATTGAGATTTCATGATGTGTATAATTTGCAGAGGGCATGTTTGCTCCTGGTAAGTATACTGATAAACCAAGCTAGAATAACATGACTTTAAAAGGATCTCATTCTTAAGCCTGAATTTCCTGGCTTGTGGCTGGTTTAAATCAGAAGATGAATTTTAAGTTCGAGATCATGAATTTAATGACCTTTTAATGTACCATGTTATCACACTCTCAGCAAATGCTTCATGATTTATACCTGGATTCCTTTCTTTTCCTTGTGTCCATTTCCCTTTTCTTTTTGCCCCTTCTCCTTCCTCTTTCTCTTCCTTTTTATACCTAAACTACATGTGGTGTTTCTTCTCTCAGGAGCCCGAAGCCATCAAACTTAAAGAGATTTGAGATGTCGCAACCACCCCTTTAAAGTAAGCAGGAATTTCAGCAGAAACAGGAGATAGACAGCACTTCCAGAAATCTCACAGGAAAGTAATGGTGCAAAAAAATGGTGGAAGATAAGCTGATGTTGGGACCAGCCCAGTGTTTTTTGCCCCAGGACATCTGGCTGGTAGGGGAGCATTGATAAGCAAAACACCAGCTTGCCTCAGCAATTGCCTGAACTCAAAGCCTTTGGTCTGTGCCCAGACAAGCTTTCACTTCTGCTGGGCTACCTCTTCCAATCTGCCACCATACACTAGTTTTTGCTGCCTATCTGCTTGTGCTGACCCTGCAAGGAGGCTTGACCACAATAAAATGGGCATTTTGCTGTCAGGTTGCATGAGGTTGTAATTTCCCCTGCCTGCAGATCTGTGATTCTCATCAACCTTTGTGTCTCTACCAGCCAGATTCTTCTTTCAATGAGATTGGTTAGATGTATATTTGAGCAAAAGTTGACTCAGAGAAGATAAAATCAATTCTTGATCTCTGGGCTGTGAAGATTCCTTGTGTGCTGTATGTGTAGATTAACATACATGCTGCATGCACACAAGGGATTCCAAATACATTGATTCAGGAACTCTGCTAAATAAAGCCAAGTGTGTATTTTAATGGAGGAAGTAGCAAGATTGTCCCCTTGGTCCTTTGAAGAAAAAGGCAACAAACAAAGGTATTTTGTTTCCTGTATTTATGATCACAATATGACACACCTAAATAATGCAGAAATGAAAAAAAAAAATGTACCTACAAAGTAAGTACAATTAATGGCAAGTATTTTTTAACTCCATGATGAAATGTACGGGTGTGTGGACTTATCAGACTTAAAATTTATCAGACTTATAACTGAATTTTGACCTATTTGCTACTAATCTCTAAACTGTTGAGTTACGTTTTGTATGCATCATCATTGTTAGGCTGCATACATGCTATTACAGCTGCTCTATTTGTGAGCTACATCATTTGCCATGTTCTTTCCTCTGACATTGTTTACATAAG